TTGACTTCTTTTTATATATATATATATATATTTTTTTTTTAAATGTATTAAAAATATAATATAATCTAATCTAATATAATACATGCATACACACACGCACACACACTGTATCAACTCATTTCATTCTCTCTCAGGAGAGTGACAGTCTGTCAGGGGCTGATTGACAACTCAGTGCAGCTGGTCATGTGACTCACTGACAGTCTGAGGCTGAGCAGAAGGAGAAAAATGGCTCCTTCAACTTAAAGCTACATATCTCTAAAATGGTAGCAGATAACAACACTATGAAATTGCGTGTTAGTAGGTCAAAGTGTAGTGAAGGGGAATACATTGTCAAAATGGAGGTCAGACGGGCATGAGGTTGCAGCGCGGACCAAGGACCCGACACTGCTTGCAGCTTTAATTAGCAGAAGTCCTTGCCGCAGGCAAGGACCCTATTGTTCATGTACTGTTTCTTTCTTCTTATTATTGTTATTTGCCTGACCAACGCGAAACCATTAATTAGACCCCCTAAACACGCTCAAAAACTCACCAAAATTGGCACACATGTCCGAATCGGCGAAAAATTTGATAAAATGAGCCGTTAAAGTTGATGAGCTGTCGCAGCTTCTGCTCAAACTTTATATGGTTGTGTATGGGGCATGTGCAGACATGCTGTGACATTTGGTCATCTACACAAAAAACTAAAGGTCCTACAGCTTTAAAAATGACACTGAGGGCTTCCTAACAAGATTTCCCACAAAAATATGTTGTTTTTACACACATTTCGTGAAAATTGTGGCAGTGTGAGAGAGAGAACGTGAGTAAAACTCTCACTCTCTCAGTCAGGGGCTTGAAGAATGATGACATCATCACAGCTCAGTGCTGCTGCTCCTGTCACTGACAGGCTGACAGGCTGAGCAGAGACAGAAACATGGCTCCTTCACCTTAAAGCAGGTTTAACTTGAAGAACGGTCAGATGGGCATGCGGTCGCAGCACGGACCAAGGACCCAACAAACGCTGCTTGCAGCTTTAATTAGGGTCCGAGGACCCCTACTTGCAAAGCAAGCAGGGGTCCTTGCCCGAAGAGCATGAAACTAACGAGCATGAAACTAACATGGGTTTTACAATAATCCGGCATCAACTTGTGGCTTGCTGCCATCTTAAATACTGCGTGAAGGTCTGTAGAGAGAATGGCAAGCCACGCCTCGCTGCAGCCGGAGAAATCGGCTAATTGTAACTCCAAACACCTGGTCACTTGTCCCTCTGGCTTGTTGCACTGGAAAGTAGGGGTAATACAAAGGTGCTCCATTAGATGGAGCCAAAGGCAGAGGTCATATCAAATCCTTTTTGAGGGCTGTTGCTTTTATATGTTCTGTTTCCCTCTGTTTTGTGCCATACTGATGACACCCTATTCTGAATTTTACATCAAGAGAAATATTTGGGTTTGGATATTTATATATTTATTTATTTATTTATTTATTTGCTCAGAAACACAAAGTAATGTTGGCATACTTTTTTAATAGTTTACACACTTTTATTACAACATTGCTCATCAGTGTCACTCCTTTAGAATTTTTCAATGCACACAAACAGTGCCTGTGGAAAGCCCCGGCCTTTAGCAATAGCCCAGGTGTAGAAAAGTAATGAAGGGTGGAAAAAGACAGTATGAAGTATGAGTGATGAAATTATTTGCCTCTTCGTCCTCAGGCCAAGAAAGCTGGTGCCTTTTCAGAAAGCAAAAACCTGTAGGGCTGCATTCCTCCAACCTGCTGGGGAAACTGGGTGTGAATGATGTTGTGAAATTTGGGAAAAACCATGAATCATTGGCCATTACTGGCTAAAACACATTCCAAAGGCTAACGCTAAATGTCATTATACGAAAAATGTATGCCCACATCACTATCTGCCTATGCAGGGTGGTTAATCTTCATCTGAATAACAGCATGTTACATTTTACCTTGATTGTAAGACAGCATACCCAGATGGAAGATAGATTTCATGTTGTTTAATTCTCTTCCAATAGACACATTGATAATTTTTGTTCCAGTGTTATTGCCAGTAACTTTAGCTGTTACCTGGGCCCATTTTTAGACAGACGCTCAATAAAAACAACTCTCACCATAGATTCAGTACAAACAATGATAAAAGTAAACTGGTGGTAGATCTATTTCAGCAGAGTTTACAAAACATTGTTTTCTTTAGATGTAGAGGATGTCACTCCCTTTTTGTCCTTTCTGATGTTTCCTGTAGTAGTAATGTCCGCTGTATATGTGTTGTCTGTGTTTTTTTGTTGTTGTTTTTTTCAGAACCTTAAAAGCAGTTTAAAAGTCAGTGAGTATTGTGAATTTAAATGAACCCTGTAACACTGTGATGGATTGCATGCCTTAATGTATTTATTCATTGCCTGAATGTTTTACTGACAAATATGTCAGTATTGTAACGAAGTTGTGTGACCCTGTAAAACAACAATAACATCAGTGTTGAACCTTCGTAATGCTCTAGTGGCTGAAGTCCACAAACCCTGAGTTGCAAAATGTTGTAGATGTATGAGTTGACTTCCTGAATGATTTCGCTGACATTACATCAGTGCATTTTCTATGGTAGCAGCAGCAGAAAGTTTGAGAGATATTGGCAGTTGATCACCTATCACTAGATACCAGCAGAAATCCACATCAAGGTTCAGTCTCATTTTACTGCAATACAGAAAGCCTGAAGGTCAGACTGTGTAACATGACACATGAACAGACTTGTTGAACACAGCGAGTTTGCACTACAATATAATTTCTGTCTCATTGTAAGGATACAATTAGTATCAATATTCCCTCTTCAAGTTGCCTTCCCTTAGGTTTATCTAGGCATAGTGCCTAGGGTTAAGAATGTTAACAATCAACACAAAAAAGTGTAAAGAGGTTTAATTCCACCCAGGAGGTTCCTGTGCATGTACCAGGCTCTATCTGTTCTTAACACATAAAGAAAAGGCCTAATACTTCTCTGACTCAAATGGGTGTCGCATTTGTTGTACTTCGTTTCAGTTGCATAAGATTTGACCGCAGTTCAGAATGGCTTCATTAACATTCATCTTCATGGACTCATTGTTATAAGGCTTTTATATACAACCAAATTCCAACTTTTAATTAGACAGAAGTAAAACAATGAAAATAAAAACAAAATGCCAGAGTTCAAATGTCACTCAGGACTAGTGATCAGGACAAGGAAACGTATTGAATTACACAATTTCCCCCAGGTGTCTCTACCCAGAAAGCTTAGTGTTTATTTTTTACTTTACAGTTTTTCCAGGTAGAAATTGTAAAAGAAAAAATAGCCTTGGGCTTAAGTGGTTAAATGGTATTGTTTTATCATTGCTGTTACTGGGATAAGTAAGCTTCTTCTATGCATTCTGAGTCCTGTGAAAGGTTCTTGGGTACAGTGACAGAAAAGCCAATTGAATATTTTACTACTGTATATAACCCACAAAGATATCAGTACTCACAACAATATGCAAGGCGCCAGTTGCCGATTGCTTTGTCAAAGGGAATCCAAAGGCAACTTTGGAAATTTGGGTTTAAAAATTGTAAGGTCTTAACCTTACTATCTTAAGATCTATGAGATGGCACATGTTGGATATTGGGGATATATAAATTAAAAATGAATTGAATTGAACGAGCATGTCCTTTAAATTCTGTTCACAATGTTTTCTGATAAATTTATATTACCAGGTTTGTTTGTCATGTTAATATTACAGTACTGCTCGCACTTCCAAAAACAACGCATTTTCATTTCATGCTGTGTTTTTTCTGCTTACCTCTTTTTGAGTTTACACAGAGTAAGAGAAAATCTACATATAAACACAATCATCTTCTGCACTGTGAGTAACCTAAATTGAGTCAAAGGCAGTGTGACTGTTATCCAACCAGCATACAGTGCTGATAGACGTTTCAGCCACTCCAATCAAAGTTTGCACAGAGACGGAAATCAGAGATAAAGTTAGAAGATGTGCAAGCAACAAAATCAACACTACAGTACTAAATACATAGGCTGACATCATTGAGCAAACACAAAGGGTCAGTTTTGAGGTTTTTTTTTTGCATGTATATCTATACATTGCATGTATGTTTATACATTGTGTTTTGTGTTTTGCGCTCAACATAAAAACTTCATGTTAGACTTGTGTGTATATTTTCTTTTGAATTGTCTTGAATATGGGTCGATGTATATAATTTTGTAAACGTGAGGCAACCTTACTGGCAGTGTGTGTTATACATATCAGGAAGTAACTGAGCACAGTGGAATACAAAGCAGCTTGATAGAGTTCTGTTATCAGTCTTGGTAAGGTCTGTTTAAACTAATAAGACTACGTCTGCACAATGTTGGCTATTTACCAGTTATGCAAACTGTGTGCATCTATTTTTAGAAAATGTGTCCATCTGCAAACTGGTGTCAACCATACGCTCCACACCCCCTTTTTTGTGGGAGTGAAAAGCATCTGCGTCATGGAACTATGATAAAGTCAAGTCAGTTCAAAACAGTTGCATTGTATAGGGAAAGTCTTACTTTGTTTTAATTAATCACAGACCATTCTTTGTTAAAACAAAAACACTCGTTTGAGACAAAAGAAAAGGACTAGAAGAAAAAAAAACTAACTAAAGTGGTCATTTACTAAGGTAAATGAAACTGCATGACCTGTTTGAGAAAGCATTTTTTTTGTAATTGTTATAATTGATGTGAAAAGTTTCCAACAAATTATTGCACTGCTGTCTAAATTTGAGTGCAAAGCACAATTGGTAACTATGTTAGTGTTAATGATAATATATTTTAACTCTAACTGAGATGGTGTCGTAGAGATAGAAAAAAGGCTTCACATGAAAAGCAGGACAGGTTTGTTTTGTTGATCAAGTTCTAAGGAAAGCGGAGAAGGAGGAGGGATGTAGGTGTGGCCAAGTTCGGGTGGAATTCCCCAGAATCACCTGAGTCCATCCCTCACTCCTTTACAGAGGTATAAAACTTCTTACGTGGATAAATGCAGCAGGTGCATCTTTTCCTCAGAGTGACAGAGATTGCACAGAGAAGAGGCAGGTAAATTATACAGCATACACTGGATTGTCTTGGAGCATCATACTTTATCATATTGTGGCTTGTGCCGTGAGCAGGTAAAAACATTAAAAACAGATTTTCTGCATTTATTTGTTTTTTGTTTTCGTACTGTGTGTAGATAAGTATATTCTTCTATTTTTCTCAGTGTCTCCATGTCATCACCGTGCCTCAGCAGTATCCTGACTCATGCCAACCTCACCATGTATCAGACTGGCTCGCCCGATGTCCTGCCACAACAACTGAATGTGCTGCCCAGCATCAATACCCTACAGATCCGCAATCCAGCATACAACTCTATCATAAGCGGTGAGAGGAACCTTCTCTGCTGGTGTGAGATTTCTGCTTTATCACTGCTTTCAATTTTTTTTCTGTGTTTCCCTTAAATAAATTCAATAGGATTAGTCCATGGGCTCCTGAAGCCTCTGTTAACCATTATCAACCAGTCTAAGTTACCTGGCAGTTTCAGCTACAGACTAATCTCACAGTAAACAGGATCCTTAATTTCAAACCACAGCCAGTGGAACCATTTGCCTGCTCAACTTTACTTTGACCTCATTTATCCACTGCCAGCTTAATTATTTACCAGGCTGCCAATGTGTAACTTAGTACAACCGTCAAACAGAAGAATGCTGCAACCTCATAGTTGAAACAGTTCTGTTTGCTTCTTTTGTCTGACCACAGAGACAAAATCCAGACAAGGATACAATACCATGCCTGTGATGCAGTGCTATGTATAGCTGCTGAAGCTGATTCTGACTTATGCAACTAGAGCACAGATGAATCATAATGTATACACACCATCCATTCTCTAAAGAATGTCAAGTAATTCCTTGTTGTCACTTTGCAGGTCAGTGGTACAGGCAGATCAACCCTCACTGCTGGACAGCAGACCATGTTCTAGAGTGGATCAGTGACCACGTAGAGACCACTAAGTTTGACGCAAGCACCCTGAGCCTGGACTACTGTACCATGGATGGCCTAACTCTCTGTCAGATGAATCAGGACCATATGACTGAGGTCTTTGGCCTGCAGCTTGGTCCACACCTTCACCAGAGTCTGCAGGAATACAAGACCAAATATGGCAAGCTACATCTTTGATTAATTACAATTTATATAATCTCACACCTGTAACATATCCAGATGTAGTTAATCTTTTGTAATTTCTGCTCTAAAATATCATTTGATTTTGTGGAGAAAGTTCAATTTATTTTATATTTTTTTTTGGGTAAGACATCCTATTTTTCATCTCTTCATGTCTTTTCTTCCCAGACCTGCAAAGCTTATCAGGACCAGAGCTGAATGAAACCTGTCAGCTCCTGGACAACTTCTTGGACAACCTAAACTTCCCTTTGCTCAGCACCATTCGTATTGGCCAAGGTACATATTGTATAGAGATGTTATATACTGGCATTATATATATTTTGTGGAAAATTATAAGCTAACACTGTTACATAACTACCTATAGCCGAAGACGCTGTCAGCAAAAGAGAGTTTGACTACCAGGATGACTATAATCTGACCAGTCTGACCATGGAACCCGTGACACCTCTGGAAGACACTGAGTACCTGTCTGATAATCAGTCTGACAGCGAGTACAGCTCCTCCTCCAACAGTGAATATTTTATTCTCATGTTTACATGTTTATCACCTCCCAATTTCTTAAGCATTCTGTTTTTCTGAAACATATCTTTAATGTGTTCAGGTGGCATGTTTGGCTTTGCAAGCCTTGGCTCTCCAGAGTCTGGTTGCAGCGAATCAGAACCAGAGTTCTCCTACCCTGTGATCTTAAGTGAGTAAGCAGAAAAACTCCTTGTTTGTGAGGCTCTTTGCTTACAGTCCCAGCAGTGTCACTGAATTATGTATATGTCTAACAGTTAACTGTTGTGTTGACAGAGCCACACATCAAAAAAGAAGGAGAGTCTCGATTGAAGCGACCGCGGGGGCGTCCTCCTAAATTCAGCAAAGAGCACAGCAGCATATATGACAATCCAAAGAAAAATAAACATGGTGAGGCAATGTTGGAAGAAACATCATACTGTATTATTAATCATGTAAAATACTGTACAATATTGAACTGCACCTGAACAGTGCTGAGTTGTTTTATAGATTCCCTTTTGCATCACTTTGCATTTTTATCAGGCCACAGGTTCATATCAGTTTGCCTTACATGCTCATGCTGAGGAGGATGCAAAAACATATTTAGCTTATTGTGCACCACTGTCTGCAGCACCTCGCGGCACTCACCTGTGGGAGTTTATCAGGGACATTCTGATCCACCCAGAGAGGAACCAGGGCCTGATGAAGTGGGAGGACCGCCACGAGGGTGTTTTTAAGTTCCTCAAGTCCGAGGCTGTGGCTCAGATGTGGGGACAGAAGAAGAAAAACAGCAGCATGACATATGAAAAACTGAGCCGTGCCATGAGGTAAGTTCAAGAAGCAGTTAATAAAGAGAAGTTGGATTAGAAAATTGCAGCTGTTTCATTACTGTTCATCTGTCTTCCTGAACCTGAAACTGGCCAGTTATTTTTGAGATATGGTTCAGAAGTTCACAACACTGGCATTGTGGCACTACCTAAAACACAAAACAGAGACATGTGTTCTACATGTTTCAACATAGGCAGCTATTACAGACAATTTAACTTTATGTTGTTGGTCCAAGTTAAAGGGACTCTCTGAACACCACAAGTTTGTAAATTTGTAATGTAGGCTTTCTCTAAATTTGATCCAAACAAATCAATATACTTCCTGGTGATGTCACAGTGATATTATCAGTGTTGCCTCTACTGGTTCAATTAACAAAGCTCATCCAGGCCATGACATGTAAAATCCTTTGCTGATACCCATTAAAGAATATTCTAAAGGAGACTGGAAGCCACTTTTGACATTTACTAACAAGTGTTTTAAATCAGTTAAGTGGAGCAATTGATCAATTGATCAAGCAAACTGTTTAGGCTGTGTGTCAAACCTGACCAATTTATCCTTCTGGCCCTTTAGGTATTACTATAAGAGAGAGATCCTGGAGCGTGTCGACGGCCGGAGGCTTGTATACAAATTCGGGAAGAACTCCAGTGGCTGGAAGATTGAGGAGCTTGGCATGTGAGGCAGAAAGGCAGAAAGCAAATCAGAGTAGTAGAGCAGGAACTACAAATACCCATATGTGCTGTCAGAAGGAGAGAAAAAAAACCCTTACTGTATGAAAAGATTAAGACACGTACTTCCTCTAAGAAGGGAGATGTTGCAGAAAATGTATGCCAGTGTTTTTGGCACTTGTAGGTTTTATGAACCAATATTAATATTTTACATGTTATGTGTTTTTGATTGTCACTACAGAATCTATGTGCGCAATACTTCAGTATACATCATTTTAGATGATCACACAATAACAGTACATCTCATAGTAATAGCTGATAAAGCAACCTATTTACAGTTGTACAAATGTCACCCCTATGTTAGGCTTAATCTTCTTTACGAATGAAGGACTCACTCATCCTCATCTTTCACTGTAACTTTGGTTTTGTTTTGTCTCACTGGAAACAAGACTGAGGTAGGGCAAATGTAAAATTAGTTGTGGATCTGAACCCTCGACCAAGTGTGGGATAAACAATGTAAAGAGACGGAACAGAGAAAGATGGGGGATGTGACCTTAAATTACCACAGTAACAATATGCACTACATGTCTATTACTATTACTTATTGTAAAGTGTGTTTACGTCATGTAGTTGATGAGTAACTTAATCACATTATGTGATGTGATCTGTTTTTTTAGATTATGACCTGTAAAAAAAGTTTTTAATTAATCAGTCAGAAATCAGTTGCATGTTGTTTCTGTGATTGTCTTGATGTCATTGATCTACTTTTAATCCATTAATCTATCTTTGTCCTAAATGTGTGGTATGTGGAGTGAATCTCACTCTTGAGATCTATTAATTAAAGACATAGTGTTTCTACGGATTTTTAAAAATACAAATAAATCTTGGACTTCCTGTTTTGCGACTGATATTTACACATGTGGTATGATCTTATCAGCATACACTATGTAGTACACATAGCATGGTGTTTGTATGATTCCTCAACTGTTTAAATACAAACAAAAAATTAATACAATTTGCAAAGGTGCATTTAGTGGAAGTCTACAGTCTAAATGTCACAGATAATAAACATAGTAAACAAAAAATAATCAAAGTGCAAGTGATATAGATGGTGACTAAATCGTACTGGCATCTATAAATGCCAGGTCATAAAAATCTAGGACTAACAGAGAGACAAAATCTCTCCCTCTGGGCTAATTTTAATTCTACTAGCCTTTATCATATTGTCTATGTTACAAGAATGTTTCTCTTTGAAGTTTAGAAACGTGATATTGGCCATTTTCACAATATAGTGTTTTCTGTTTGATGCATGTTACCAGTAGTAGTCAGGAATTAAAATGGTAGCCACATTCACAGCTACCAAAGGACTTAGTCTAGTCATTCTTCCATTCATTTTATGTACAACACTTTATCTTGTATAGTCGCAGCAGGCTGGAGCCTACCTCAGTTGACTTAGGGCAAAGGCAGGGCATATCCTGGACAACACCAGCCCATCACAGAGCCAACATAGGGTCAGCACAGAGAGACAGAAAACTGAGAAGGCATTTTAATACAACAGACGTGTTGTTTTCAGTTGCATGTGCAATTTTTAAAAAAATCTTTTATTTCCTATGACTCCAATCACGTGTTTCTAGTTATTCTTTTGTTGCCAAAATGAATACCCCAGTCATTGTGAAGACTGCCACACAGAGGCAAATAATATTGTCCCAACTTCCTTATATTGTCTTCTACCACTCTGTATAAAAATTCAAAACTGTCAACTTTGGCCTTTGGCATCAAGTGTGACCACTGAACATAAATTAGTTAGCAAAGTTGCATGTGAATGCACTTTGTACTACATGGGGTAAAACTCTGGGGTTGGTGCATTCTTTGTTGAACTTGATAATCTCTGATTTCCTACAGAGAACAAGTAATTGAACTGAGGTGGACAGATATGATGCTGTGAATGATACATAATCATATTGGAAACCCTAATTATAAACCCGACACAACTGTGTTTGACTTTACTTGTACTGCATATTAGAGCAAAATCTTGGCCATGCACTGACACCATAATATTATCCACTCATTAGTGTGGTGTCATAAATACTGGTAAGACCTGTTTATAAGACCTAGGATAGCTTCACAAAATGGCAATGTTACACAACAACAGAGAAGCCTCCTTTCAACAGGCACAGCTGGTAGATAAAACCCCTGACAGAATAATGCAACCTAATATTTTCATTAAAGCTTTCAAATGAGCCTTATAATGTGTCACTTTTGAATGTAAGTCAGTATGCATTAACAACTGTAATGTTAATATTTCGTAACAAAAAGGAAGTATGTGGGAGACTGGAGTGGCGGGTAATTCAATTCAATTCAATTCAATTCAATTTGTATAGCGCAGTTTACAACACGTTATCACACAGCGCTTAACAAAGTAAGGTATAGACCTTACAAATTTAAACAGAGAAACCAACAATCCAAAGTAGCCTTTGGACTTCCTATGAGTAAGCAGTTGGCAACAGTGGGAAGGAACCAAAACTCCCCCAGGGGAGGGCGGAAAACAAACTTCCAGCAGAACCAGGCTCAGGGAAGATGGCCATCTGCCTCGACCGGTAAGCAGGAAAAGACTTTATTCATTTGTAAGCCTTGACAAAATAGGTGGTGCTGCAACGTTGGGGACATAGGAACTACTTGCACTTCAACACTAAATGAATATCAAGTCTTAATACATCCTCCATGCAAGTATGCAGATGCAAAAGCTTTGAGGTATGCAAGATTATTTATGTGGTGTTTTCTTTGTTTGTTTGTTTGTGATCCAAACAAATAAGAAATTATTCACTTTCAAGTGACACTCCAGTCCTTATTTATTTGGTTCATTCAAAACAGTGACTCTGGCCATTTGCACAAAGCTGCAACTGAAGGCTGCACACTGCAAAGCCTGAATTTCTTATTTTTCCTTTCTTCAGTGCAGTAAGCATCGCAATACACTTTCTACCACAGACACCATGTGTGTGTTTGTCACAGTGAAGTCATGTGAATGTTTTATTTGGTATGTTTTTCCTACTTAATATTTAACAGTGATCACATATATTGAATGTAGAGGCCAGGTGTTGCAATTTTCATTTGTGTACATGAATAGCATGTTCCAGAGTTAACACTGCTTATGCAAGGAAACATATTTGTACCATCCTATTACGATCCAGCCTCTAGGGTCAGCTGGATGTAACTGGAAACCAGATGGAAATGGTTCAGGTAAAGCAATTTATTGCTCAGTAACGTAAATGAACATAACATAATTGACAATACAAAAGAGGGTGGATGTTGCTACAAATGAAAGAACCAAACATAACCAAATGAAGGCTAACAGAGTTGCAAAGCTAGCAAACAAATCTAAACTCTTTCGCAAAAACCTAATAACAACATCCACACATAACAAAATAAACTAAAACAAACTGGTGCCTCAAAACACAGAATACGAAGACACCGGACGCGAGTAACTTCCTCACAAAGTTGTGCAGCTGCTAACGGGAGTCATGGACTCCACTGAGACTCACTCAAAAACTCCCCACCGAGTTAGCAGCTGCCAAAAGAAGTTACATTTCCACAAATTCAAAAGACACAGAACGAGAGGCACCGGGACTGACTGTTCACTCTAAATCCCAGCCAGCCCTGGCTTAAAGGTTGTGGTGGCTTTTATAGCCAGGTGTGGTGGGCCGGAGTGCAGGTTTTCAGCTCCAGGTTAATTAGCCGAGATGACTGGCAGCTGGTGTCCTGAAGCGAGCTCTCAACCAGCCACAGCTGGTCATCTCAACATACCGTGGTCACAAGTCCACATGACAAAATGGCACAAAAACCTTGGGCCAGGGGTGGGCAATCTTGGTCCACTAGGGCCACAATCCTGCATGTTTTAGATGTTTCTCTCTTCCAACACACCTGATTCAAATGACCAGCTCATCATCAAGCTCTGCAGAAGCCTGATAACGATCCTGATCATTTGAATCAGGTGCATTAGAAGAGGGAAACATCTAAAACATGCAGGATTGTGGCCCTCGAGGACCAGGATTGCCCACCCCTGCCTTGGGCTGTAACACATCCAAAAAGTAAATTTTTTGACTTCCTACTAAATTGCAGTTCCACTCACACTGTTTATCTAAAAACAACAACAAAAACAGATCAGACAGGACCAGTCAGCTTTAGTCATAGGTACTGGACAGCTGACTGGGGACTAGCAGGGGACGAGCACGCTGGTGGCTAGCTGACTAAGGCGTTTTTAGCTAGCAAGAGGCTTGCAGGCTAAGGACAAGCAGTACCTACACTAGACTCTACCTGAGAGTCACTGGAGGAGTAGAAGAAAGCCAGAAAGCTCTTCTTGGTAAAAATAGTTGTAGAGCAAGATTAAGCTCTGTCTGGGATTTCCTTTACACAAGGTCTAAATAAAAATTTACTCTCCAACGTGATTAATCCTGTCTATTTGTGTTAGAAGGTCATGGTGCAACAAAAATCTTTTGCAAATCAAATTCTACAATTTCATTTGCTTATCCAAAGCAGTGTACATACAAGAGTAGATACAATATAAGCAAGGATCGATCGATCGATCCATTGTCTATACACCGCTTAATCCTCACTAGGGTCGTGGGTGGGCTGGAACCTATCCCAGCTGACTCAGGGTGAAGGCAGGGGACACCCTGGAGAAGCCACCAGTCCATCACAGGGCTACACTTAGAGACAGGCATACTCACATTCACACCTACGGACAATTCAGAACCACCAATTAATCTCAACATGTTTTTGGACTGTGGGAGGAAGCCGGAGAACCCAGAGAGAACCCACAGTGCACGGGGAAAACATACAAATTTCATGTAGAAAGAACCCAGGCATCCTAAGCAGGCCGTGAACTGGGGATCTTGTAGTTGCGAGGTGACGGTGTTAACCACCAAGCCACCTTGCAGCCCTGCAAGGTTCTAGTCAGGAGAAAACAACCTGGATAAGTACCATAAAGCAAGTTCAAGTGTGATAGGACATTGATGCCTACAGGCAGTGCGGGAGGTAATTCGTTTTTTTATTTTTTTATTTTTTTATTTTTTTTATTTTTGTGTCTGTCAAGTGCAGAGGTGTTCAGTGAAGAGCTGGGTCTTTAGTCTTTTCTTGAAGATTGAGAGGACTATGCAGACTGAACAGAGTTTGGTAACTTGTCCCACCACCGGGGAACCACAGAGGAGAAGAGTCTATCTATCGACCTTGGGCCCTGTTGTGGTGGTTGTATCAGGGACCTTTTGTTGGCTGAGCATAGTGAGTAGGAGGGAGTATTGACCTGAATGAGAGTGTTCATGTAGGAGGGAACTGTTTTCATTTTCAGAGTTTTGAATTTGATGTGGGCAGCAACTGGAAGCCATTGAAGTGATCTGAAAAATGGGGTGATGGCCTGTTTTTGGCTGGTTGAAAACCAGATGTGCTGCTACATTCTGAATCATCTGCAGAGCTTTGACGGTGCATGCAGGGAGACCTGCCAGTTAGGAGTTGCAGCAGTTGATGTGTGATATTTGAATAATAGAATAGAATAGAAATACTTTATTTGTTCCAGACCTGGGAAATTATTACGGTACAGCAGCAAAAAAGAAAACACCAAATCACAACAAGAAAGGGCTAAAGTTAAATAATATTAAAAAATAAAAAAAATAAAGATAAAGATAAATAAATGAACTGTACAGAATGTGCAAATTGAAAAACAGTGCAAAACTAAGGCATTTTACAGAGCGGAGAGCTGAGAAAGCTCTCTGCCAGACAGAGGCGAGGTTTTGTACAGGGTGATTGCTCTAGGCAGGAAAGACTTCTTTTATCTGTCCTTGTGACAGTGGAGCTGAATCAGTCTATTTGAGAAGAAGCTCCGCTGCCTGTCCAGAAGGGGGTGGAG